ATTATATGTTTTTTTGAGGACTGAAAAGTAAAAATACTATCCAAATGCACTTAATAAATTGTCATTTTCTATGTAAGAAGCTCTTGTGTTTTTTCAGATTAGTGAAGTATAAAAACTCAATGCTGCCTATACATGTGTGGTTCTGATGGTGGAGATGCAGAGTAGCCTGTGAACCAGGATAAAAGAGAAATTATCCAAAAGTTAATACAAAATACATATATGTTTCCTTCACATTCAGAAAAAGCCATTTTCAGCATGTTGGGCTCTGACTCGTAGCATCTTTATAGCTAAATCCCGACATGGAGAAGCTGAGCTGGAAACAGACTGAAGAACAGCAGCTCCAGCTCTGATCCTGACTGATCTTTCCTCACTAAATTCCCTGGTTTTTAATGAACTTCTCCTCTAACAGCGGTTTCTCATCAGCGAAAACAGTATGAAAACGTTAGCTGCTATGCTAACAATCAGCGGTTACTTCGGGCCAATTAAGCTACATAGGAAATATTTCTCGGTTGTTTAGAAGCGAATTTCTGGCTGCAAAGTCAAGTAATTCTGATCTTTCATCCTTACCTGTGAAAGGTAATGCCAGTGAATCCATTTTGTTGCGTAAAACGGTTGAAACAAGTCCACACAGCACAGGACTTTAGGAGCTCCGATCGCTTTGCTGCCACACAGAAGATGGCGGTGACGTAACGTAGGACTCAGCGCTCTATGAGGGGTCTACGTATTCATGTCTATGGTTGCGGGAGTTAAAAGACCCCTGAACGCTACGGACCGACGCTGTTGTCATGGTTGCCTAGAGACGGACACTACGCAGCCACGGTGAGGCGCTATCAGCCCACGTCTTTTTAAACCATCCTCGACCCGACTCTTCACCGTCCTTAGAAGCAAAACCTCTCGTAAAGATACAGTCGTGAGAAGGAAGGCGCAAATCCCAGGCTGAATAATGTTGGTGAGGATGAACACAGGCAATAAAAAAAAAAAGTGTCCATTGTGGCCAAGTGTGATACCAGACAGAATAGATCAGGAGAGGAACACAGCAGACCCTGATATGGTAACATTTTGCTATGATTAAGTTTCTTATTGTGCTTTTGGTAGACTATATTGGTTTGATTATTTGCTTATTTAATGTATAATAATATCAGCCAAAATAATACAAATGATCATTTGAAGAACAAATCATACATTAGTTTAACAGTAAATACATAAATACTTCTTACTTTAAAAGGTTTGTTAGTGCTTTCTTCATGTTTTATTTTGAAATGTTTACATATTTTATGAATTCATTAATGCACCAGACACAGACCTGCCGCCCAGGGGCGGTTCTAGATGGGGGCCAACAGGGTACCAAAGAAGTTATAAATGTCTTATGTTAATACTCAGTGGTGGATTTTTTTTTTTAACCTTCACAATTTTACTTGAACAATGAATTAAAAATTATAGTGCTGCACCTTTAGCTGCTGTATGGAGATAGGATCACACTTTCCATCTGTCAGGGATCTGCATCCTGGATCTCTGGAGACTCAACTGGCTCTTTGGCTCACTTGTTATATCAAATAATGAAATATTGCTATGTTTTTTTTTTTGTTTTTTTTTTTGTTGTTTTTTTTGCTTTGTTTTTTGTTTCATTCTTTTTCAAGTGTTGCCATGAAAAAACACTGACTAACCTGGTCCCTGTGGTAAATCTGGTCTAGAACCAGCCTCCAAACCTAACTCCTTATTTATAAAAATATTTTGGTAATACTCTATAAAATATCAGAATGTTCACATAACTTTTATACTTTTAGTTGTCTGAGGACACATTTTTAATATTAAATCAGGTGTTATGATCAGTTACTCAGTGGTTTACCAAATACTTTTTACACTTGCTTAATTAAACATATTTAAAGTATACTACTCTGATTGGAGTACAATTTTGGGGTACTCTAACCAACCTCTATGCATGAGCGATTGCTCTATGGATCACTTTTTAAAGACAAAAAACACTGCCATAAAATATTGTCTATCACTGCAGCGGACATCCCACCCCATGAGAGTCGAGTGACACGCGCCGTGGTGGGCGTCCCTTACTTTGATTTCTGAAAGGTGGCAACCCTATGCTGTGGTTAGCTGTTTGTGCTTGGCATTTTCCAAAATCGTTGAAGAGTACTGCTGGATCGAGCCAAATTAACACAGCCAAAGGATTATATTGTGTGTTTTCTGGCAACCACTCGACGGTGAGTTGTTTATTTTACGTACTTTGTCTATGTATTGGTGACTAAAATGGTCTTATAGATTAAAAGATCATTCTCTTTTCGTTAATTTTGCGGCCAAGTAGAAGATATATCCTCAAAGTATTAAATAAATCCTTTGATTTTTGTAAATTTGCCATTTTTAGGATACTTTTAGTTACTTTTTATTGATTTTGTTGACGGCCTATAGAACTCTGGAACTGGTTCATTTATTTGGAATTGCGCAACAAAACAAAAAACAATTAATTGTTTAATGAAACAATACTTAAGTCAATTAAGTTTAATTGACTCTCATGTCAATTAAACTTAGATACAAGTTGAAAGTGCACTTCAATTTGATCTGTAACTTTAATTTGATCTTTAACTTGAAAAATATGGAATATAGCAATTATTTCATTGATGAATGTTTAGTTGTTTTGGATAACAGTTTAACCCTGTTTAAATGTAAATGCTATTTTTTTTATTCATCACCTTTTTTAGGTCAGGGTTTTTTTCCACCTCCTGTTTCAACCCAGGATGGTGAGCTACTGCATCACCACACTTTATTGAACCAAACTGCTTTTCTTTTCTGGACCTATTGCCCTTGGATCATGGACTAAAAACATTTGGATTATTGATTGATGGAGGATTAATCATCCTGCAAACAAAAGAATGGACTTGATTGAATAAGAGAAAAAAAAACTCTTGGGTGTCATCGGGGTTTATTTTGTTGCTGTATTTAGAAAAATATTATTATTATTATTATTATTATTATTATTAAGTACCTTTCTAAATATATGCAAATATATAAATTTGAATACAATAACTTGAACTTACTACCTGTCTGATGGTGTTGTATTCACACACACGGGCTCCTCAGCCGAACGTTTCTGACTGCCTATTACCATATTTGGCGGTAGTCTGGCGCCTAGCCTTAATTAGCATTACACAGGCAGACCCATGAAGACACTCCTCCACCGATCAGTTTGACTGAAGATTAACACATGGATGAGTTCCTGTATAAATCTAGTGGGGACATTTGTATGATAAAGTTAGACTTATTCTTAAGACAAAAGGCCGACTTTGTAATCATCTTTATGTGTCTCTGAAGGCTCAGGTCAGACTATCACTAAAGCCAGATTAATGCTCTGATCCCTAGTTTCTGATTGTAATAACTGAAGCTTTGTGCTGACTATTGATTGATCCTCCTTTGGTACAAAATATTACTTCATTTATTCAGCTGAAGAAAGTTATGGCACATCCACTCATTGATTTGTTCTGTGCATCTGCTCAGCGCTTCAATGGTTCACAGCCAACTGGTGACATTGTGATGTAGAGCTGCATCACCTGCATAGTAATGGAAACTCATCTTGTTGTTTCTTATAATCTGAGCTCATGGGAGCATGTACATAGTAAATAAGAGGTAGGCAACAAAGGTTGCCTATTGACAACAAAAAATTATGAAAGACCAGGATCAAGCATTTAATGGGTAATTTCTTTTTAAATGTCAGGCCATAGGTGTCTGAAGAGACCTCTTTAAAATCTGATGTAAGGATAAATCAGGTGGATATTAATCCCATCTTATTTTTTTTAGATTAACATAAAAAAATGACAGTTTAAAGACTGTCCTAAAAATAAAGCATATTGGCAAATACGAAAAAGGTAATTGAAGGAATTAAAATTGCTTGCACATATTTATACTTTTTACACTAGTTTTATCTGATAAAACATGTTGAGGGATGTGGTGTAGTTCTGCAGATTAAACATGACTGCACTGAGAGGTGTTGTGTGTTTATGTGATGGATTATATATAACAAAAAGGTTTCATCTTTTTGTTTTCTCAAAGCTGAATGTTGCATGGTGAAGACTGCATAACAGAAATAATTTAGAAAGTGTAGAAATTGTGAAAATATATGTGAAATATGCTCCTGCTTTTTGAACTGGATATGAAATGTTTGTTTTTTTAAGTTTCATTATTGTTATAATATGTACATATAGGGATTTTATTTTTTCTCTGACTTTGTACGTGTTTGAAATAAATACAAATTTCATTTAATTTCATTGACATTGGTAGCAGTGAAGCAGGAGCGCTAAGAAGCTAATAGAAATCTTGAAGAGAAGAAGAGTTACATCAATACAGCTGCAGCCAGGCATGTTTTAATGTTGTGAACCAGTTTTTCTCAAGTTATTCAACTTTTAAACTAGTATTGTTGTGCATCTCAGATATAAACTGTACCTTCTACCAAACACAGCTTCCCCTTTTTGTAAATATTTCTGTCAGCGCCCCCCGTTATCCTCTAAATGACGCCCACGGGCCGGTGCCGCCCCCATGAGAAACACAACTGTAAATGATGTCAAACATGTCATTTACAGTAAATGATGTAAAAATGACGTAAAGACAAACACAGTGGGTTAGAGCCATAGCTCTCACTGATGCATAGCATGATCCATGGTATTACCCAAGTGGTGGGTGTCCTAAATAGATACTCCATTGATGCGCCGCTTTATCAATATAAATTGTCTAGCCACTGTTCAGAACAATCCAGAAGGAGTCGTCTTCTCTCTGCCATTGTATGGCTCAGAGACAGATCGGCCATCTGCTCCGGTCTGACCCAGCTGGTTGTGTTTACCAAACCACTGAGTCACAGCTGATTTTCCATGTTTTCCTGTCCTGTTAAACCGGCATTAAGAAAATAACTCATAACCCTCTACAGGCCTCCAGGCCCTCTGATGAATTATAACTCTTATACCTTATCAAGTTCATTGTTTCTTTCAGGTGAAGCAGAAGCGGAAGAAAAAGCTCTCACTAAGTCTCGTCTGTATTTGGTGGTTTTCGGGATTTTTAGTGCCCTGGTAGCTGGAACAGCTATCTACAGTGAGTTTCACATTACCACAATATATTTTAATTAGCTTCCTATATGATGAGTTTTTGGATGTTTAAAGCATTAGGATGCAAGCGTCAGGTCTGAAAGTTGATTGAAAAGTTACGGACAATGAAGCGTTACTAAGAATCAGTTCAAATTAATGCTGCCCAACTTGAAACATATCAAGGTGTTAAAGTTTAATATGGAAGATCTAAAGTCATGCAGAGGATGATGTCTAGCTTGTGAGCCTCAGTGTCTCATCTTGGCTTTTCATAGATGGTGTGTTTCTGTTGGTTTCTCCAGGCCATGGCTCCCACCATGCACTGGAGTGGTTCAATGCTAAGTGTGAAGCACTCAGCATTGAGGAGCTTACTGCTTACAGTCAGTGAGCCTAATTTTGGCCTCATAATGTTTGTTAACATTAATTAAAACTTCTCAATGTTTGACATTGAATAGCAAAATGTTTTTGCATCAGGCTGCATTGCATTAGCATATCAATGTGCTACTCTAAGCTGTAGTTTGTGATATGTTGTTTGCTGCTGAGCATGATCATTTGTGGCTAAAACAAATATTTTTACATCAACTAAATGACACATGCGTATAGGATGTAATGTAAACAGCACTGTCAGAGACGCATTGGGTTTATAGCAGGTGTGTGGATAATCTAATTGTCTGACTGGTGATTGCAGCAATCCACATTTTGAGCAGAAATAGAGGGCCCCAAAGCCAAATTTCACTTGAGGCCCCATGGAGGCTTGGGTAGTTGGTATGAATGGAAAAGGTGTAAAAACAATAATAACACCATTGTGATGCATTAATTTGAATGTGTGGCTCTGTAGGTTTGTCATCTTCCTTCTCCTGGTCTGGGTCAAACTCTGGGTCCAACATACAAAGTCTTCAGTTGTTGACATTTTTAATAAACTTTGGAGATAAAAGTATCAAACTACAGAAGTGGCTTAATTAGGTAGAGAAGAACGGTATGTGACCTGGAGGGGACGGGGCGTGGAATGCTTCACATTTAAAAAGACTGCATTAAAACAAGTTGCTTTAAAATGCGCTATGGAGTCTGTGGAGCTACAATAATGAGGAATTCAGACCAAAGCACTGCAGTTCTACTTTATATAAGCCATAAGTGAATGATTTACATGTAAAAAAAAAAAAAAGATTTTAAACCACTTTTAGTGGAGGAGTTTAATGATCTTTGTGTCTTGTTCATGATGGATGGATGGAAAATCAGCACAATTATTTCAAAACTTCCAACATAAAAACTTTACTCATGCATAAAATAGTATAATTAGCATGAAATTCTAAGGACATGCAAACTCTGCATATGAACTTTACTCATTCAAAACCTGGACCTTATTGCTGCAAGGCAACAGCTCTGCCACCATGCAGCCCGAAAAATAAGAATGTTAATGAAATATTGGATCAGTTTACTGTTCATTGGTTCTAAAATGAGAATACAGTCTGATATCTTGAAAAGATCTGAGAGAGAAACTGAAAATGTTGATGCTCCTCTGATACAGATGGATTCACTGACTTTCTGACTAATTTGTGTTTTTATAGTGGGTGTAAAGACGACTGCGCAACAGGAAAGTATCAGTCACCTTACAGCCGAAACACAGAACCTGATGGAGAGAAGAATGACTTTGAATGAAGACATCAAGTATCTGCTAGGAGAGAAAGACAAAAGTGTTACAATTTCTAGATTGCCTTTGAACCTTTTGATTATTTGTGTTATATTTATTTTTAAAATGTGGTTATAATCTTCAAATAGCTTTTCAAAGCATACCTAATCACTATTATCACAGGTACAGTGCTGATGTCTGACAAAGTGAGCCAGGGCCTTGGCTGGGGTGGAGAAAAATTTGTTCATTAGCACCAAGTTTACAGTAAAGTTTTGATTTCAGAGAATACTGTTGTTTTTGAGAGAACCGAGCACCGAGCCCTGTGGTACGCCACTTCTAACTAGAATGGTAGCTTAACTTAATCACTCTCCATTATTGATCTGCACATTACCTTTGAAATCTTTGATCAATTTTGATGAGTGAAACATTAAATATACACACAGGGATTTCTTTGATATTTTTGTATTTGTTGTTCTTTTTGATATTACTTTACCAAAGTTTCACTTCCTTCTGCTCTCTCCCCTTGTCTAATGGAACCAGGGTGTGAGTTATGTCCACTTGAGTGGATTCTCTACAAGGGCAAATGCTACCTGTTTTATGACAAACCACCTCGTTGGAAGACCTGGGAAGAAAGTCAAAGGTTCTGTCAGATTAGACGATCACATTTGGTTGTAATTGATGATCTGCAGGAGCAGGTAAAATCTAATGCCAAGCTAGAAATCTAACGCTAGTCTGGGAGTTTTTGTAAAATTGATCGCTTGAAGTAAGAAGATTTATGACGATCTAAAAAAATGTGTTCACAGGAATTTGTCAACACAAACATCAAGTACTACTATGATAAATACCACGGATACTGGATGGGATTACAAGAAGTTAACAACACCTGGACCTGGCTTGATGGACGTATAGACACTCTTGGGTAAGAACTACGATATAAAAAATACACATATTTAGGTAAAATGTAAATATATTTTGTCAAGATTGTAGAAGGGTTAAATGTACTGAGTGACAACGACTCCAGGGTCTCCAGGACTTCTTCTAAAACCAAACCTTGGTGGACATGATCAGGTTCATTGTTCTGTTTGGACGTCCAATGATGTCAAAGCTTACTGGGCTTCTTCTTTTCAGCACGAGCTTCAGACGTCTGATCAGGCTCAAGACGTTCCAGTTTTGGAAATACAAAAACGTTCTTTATCTCCCTATTATAGCTATGAGCAAACTGCAGCTGGGTTTTCTTGTGCCTTTGGGTCAGTGGTGCTGCAGGTGGTTGAGTTCAGGCATGGAGACCTTCAGTCCTCAGTCTGTCCTCACTGTGGGACCTGAAACCTCTGTGGCTGATGCCACCAAGCCTTGCTGCTGGTCTTTTGCAGTCAGTCGATTTTTTGCTTGGTATTAAACCAAACAAAAATAAATATATAAACTCTAAAAATATGGCTCTCATAGTTGGGTTTTATTCTTCCAGCTGTAACTCTATGAACATTCAGGTCATTTGCTATCTTTGTGTTTCTCTTAATGGTAATGGGTTTCTCTGAACCTTCTGGAGGCTTCCTTGGACTAGGCCATTATTGTAGCATCCAATGAAACATTGAGGTCAGTAATCAGGGCATTTGAAGTGTTCTTCCTCTAACAGGATGGGTGAGGGCCGTCATTGTTACATCAGGGGAGATCAAGACAAAACATCTGGTTTACAAACGCAGAAATCTGAAGAAATCTGTTCAGAGGGAGGAATAATTTTAATACTGCATCATTGAATGAAGGATTTCATGCTGAATTTGGATAAAATATATTTGTTAGATTAGTTATATCCTGACCCCACTAAGGGACAAATGTGTACATAAAATGGATGGATGGATTAGTTCTACTTAAGTGTTTAACTTTTTTTTAAAGATAATTTGTTTATTAAAAAAAATATAAGAAATTTTCAGTTTTGCTTGAAACATTGCTTTCTGTTTAATTTGAACAGCTTTAGATCCATTTGTGAAAACATTTAAATCTTTAAAATCCAATTGTGCAAGTTCTTACAACTCCTTTATTTTCTAGTCTGGCTTCTTTTTAAGTCTTTATTCAATGAGTGTCTAATGAGACTGATGTCCTTGCGAGATGTAGAGAGACTCATCCATGCGTTTATATTTAGTCACATTGTTTACTACAACAGTGTCTTTACAAGTCTAAATAAAAAACTCAATCCTCCTGCTGCAGGTGATCCAGAACGCTGCTGCTGGTGTTCTGACTAAAATCAGGAAGATGGAGCTCATAACACCAGTTCTAAAGTTCTTCCACTGGCTCCTTGTAGCTCAGAGAATAAACTTTAAAATACTCATGTTAGTTTATAAATCACTGGAGAAGTAGCATTAAGCTTCTATTCTCCATAAATCTTGAACAAACTTCCAGAAAACTGCAAAACTGCTGAAACACTGAAAGCCCTTAAATCTAAACTAAAAACCCAGCTGTTTAGAGTTGCTTTTGAATCATAATTGATTAAGAATTTAACAATGGCACTTGACTTAATGTAATGTTTTGATTGTTTATTCTATGTTGCATGACATTGTGTTTTTGTTTTTTTATAATGTAAAGTACTTTGAAATGCCTTGTTGCTTAAATGTGCAAAGAAATTTTGATTGATTGATAGTAATGACTCTCATTTGATGCTGATAGTTATAAGTTTCTTGTCAATGTGGCCTAATTTTATGTTCTGAGGTTCTTGTTTCTGTTTTAAAGGTTCTGGGCGAAGAATTGGAACTCTACTCCTGGACCGCATGTACTGGTGCTCCCAGAACGAAATGCCAAAGACTGCTGGTCAAAAGAAGAGAATGTGTTTGAGAACAAATTAATTTGTGAGCGTGACACTCGCAAATTTTAATTTAACTGACTGTTCTTTTAAAGTTCCATGCAGAAATGTTCAATTGTGTCATGAATGTGTATATACAATGCATTTCATCATGACTTTAATCATCTGCTGGTCATGTTGTCTCTTCATTCTAAGTGTTTATGACCCTAACGAAACGAGACACCGAATGTCTGGTTTGCACTGCCAGGTTTAGATGTTTTTCTGCAATTGCTCAGGAACCAGACTGTCTCTCCATTGTTCAGGGTTCCTTAACTTTGGTATAAAACCCATGTGTAGACTTCCTGACAGAGCAAACTCAGAGCATACTCTGACCTGGACCTTTAATCTGTGGCTCTCACACCATGTGCTTGTTTAAAAATGCACTTTTTAAAAAGTGTTTGGAAATTATTTTCCACAACAATATGGCTGGACGCCCGATGAGCACAAAGCTCCAGCCTCAAACCTCGCTGAGGCTTTCAGGGAGAAGAGGGCTGGCTTGTCGGCTCCAGTGCTGCGATCAACAAACTCAAAGAAAATCCTGTTTTCTGGTGAAACGCTCACTCAGTGTAATAAGTTTTCAAATTATAGGCTTAACTAAAAATAAACTTACGCCCGGTTCAGAAGTCTGCAACAAGAAAATGGGCTGACATGACACCAAAAGCCATTTTAAGCCCTTTTGAGGAATTTATTCTTAAAAACAAGTTTTTGGGAAGTGGGTTGCCCAAACACACTGACATACGCCCAGGAACCACTGGGCCTCTGTCTGGACCTCTGTCAGGCGCTGGTCTCCTCCATTCAGGGGCGGTATAAGGGGAAAAGTGAAGACAATTCTAGGGGCCCTGACCAGCAGGGGGCCCTCCAC